CTCACATAATCGTAGTGGCAGGCATAATATGTCTTGTATTACTTTACCCATAAAACACCTGATGCTTTGAGATGGAATTACTTAGGTTTCCAGTGCCACTTATACCGAAAATGTATTTCTGATACGCTAAACAGTTATTATTACATATGTCAAGTACTGTCCCTTATATTCATACCTTATCAAGGTAAACTGTCAATAGAACAATGAACAGCCTTTAGGGCATAACATCCAATAGTTCTTGATTGGTCATCACATTCCATTTCTTTCTTCACCTAAGCGTTCATCGCATTAATCGCCTGTTGACACTTTTGATCCACATCCACACAATGACTGGTATACCACAAATTACTGCAGAGGAATTTTCGCAAAGTTTCAAAACCGCTTGGACTAACACACTCTAAGCACTCATCCATTGTCTCTTCCTCTCTGCGTATATCCGTGTAGCTGCAATTATTGATGCTTATGATAGTTACGAAACACTAATTTCTTCATATTACACTGGTCGACCTGATCTGCAACTGAAACCATTTCACCTTCGTATTGTAAGTTAACTGATAAATACAACGTTTTACATATCTTGCCTGTCGTAACATTTCACTTTTAGGGATCAGAAATATGAAAAGCAATTCGAGCTCTATTTATTTCAGGAAGGATTCCTTTCTAGAGACTTTTCTAATATTTACCAACCACATAAGAACACTCATGTAGCCAATGCAAAATATACCCTTTACGAAACTGCCAGTGATTTTATTCGATTCACATTTTTGTGATAGTAACATCTACTATTAAGCGGTTGCTGATTGGTTCCAATAACTATGAGAATATGTGCATTAAGATAAAATGTTCAAGTACTAGTGAATTGGAAACTATAAAAGACGGAATTAAGTTATATAGCATTGCAATTTGTTTATAATGAGTTAATTTTAGAAAAAGAATCTTTCTATTATGTATCATTCGTTTCCAGCTTAATAACGAAGAAAATAATGCTTAAGGGTTACGTAATGCTCGTCTCTAAAATACAAGCTTAGAATAGCTTAAGTAGAGATGAATTTGGATGTGATAAGGTAGAACTTGAAGTACTTCAAAACACATACATAATGATAGCTAGTGAATATACAAGATAAGACACACATATACAAAAGGAAAAAAATTCGGACACAGCAAGAAGGAGTTGCATGATTGTAAGAAACATTTGTAGGCAAATACCTTTCGATCCGACATATAAATGATTAACTTCTGGAAGCCAATGGAGGAGTAACTGGAGTTATAGAACATCACAACCGAGCATGCGAATGATCTATAAAAGAGAAGACATTCTAGTTCTAAGGCATAAGTTCTACTTAAAATTGGTCCTGTGTACTCACATCAACTGGATAGTGCCTCGCAAACGAGCTAGTGCATTATGGAAATATATCACTAGTTGAGAAAGAAGGTGCAATTAGCCTGAAAGAAGCAGAGTGACCAAATCGAAAGTTCGCTCGGCGTTTGGGTCGAAGAGATATCGCCATTCCATGATTATTGTCAGGAATGTTAAACCATGGCAAAAAACAGCGTCGAGAAGGAGCCGGTCGATCTAAGATGGCGACAGAGCATTAGGAAAGAGTGACTGTCAGAACAATTTTCGCAGCACTCTTCATTATCAACGATCCGACGTGTGACCTGGACATCAGTATTAAAAGGCGCAGGTAGTATTGACAGGCGACTCAGAAAACGGGATCTGCGCTTACAATGCCCCATAAGCTGAATACTTCTTACCTGTACACATCTATAAACGCGTTTGCAGCTGTACAGGCTCGTTCGACGAATCTCACTGATTAAAATACAAAATGTGTTCAGTAATGAATCTCCTTTAAAAATGACTCATGATTACCATCAAGCGCGTGTCTGAAGACGTTCAGAATAAAGGTAAAGTACTGATCGGACTGTTCTTCCAACACAAAAATATGGTCTGAGGTGTCACTTCATTTAGACTAATTCCACTAGTTCTCATCCGTGATACCTTTACAGCATAGCGGTATATTGACGATATTATGCACTCCGTTGCGTTGCCCTTCTTTTCGGGGCACTCCGATTTTATATTTGAGCAGACTAATGGGCGACCTCATTCGACGATCACTTTTACTGATTATCTTCATTATTATTATGAATTATTATTTATTTGCTATATATAGTGATATGTCTTAAACAAAGCATTCAGTTCCTCTAAAATTTTAATCGTTTCTTTTTCATACCTATACATCACATCTCCGAATTTCGTCTCATTCGAAAAACTCCTTCATAATGGGTGTTTTTTTGCTAAGAGTGTATATATATATAAAGATTTTGGATCTGTAATAGCGTATTTGGTATGTACAAAAAGACCTAATTAACAACAAGTAAACAGAACTCTGAAAAACGTATTATGCATATATATGTAAATATTATTAAAATAATATTTATTAGTGTCAATATGCCCACTGCAAAACATCATTTAATCTATATACAAGAAACATTCGTCGCCCAGAATGTATAGTGGTTAGGGAAGCCTATTATAGTACCAAAGGGCTTGGGTTCGAATCCCGGAGAAGACATGGATGTTTGTAAATGTATAATGTCGGTGCGGCATGGCGTCACTCTAAATGTGCGGCAAGCCGATAGTTCTCTCGTGTGATGAAAGACCACCGGATGCCCCCTGGAGTGCTCTCCCTCAAAATTGGGGTGGAAAATAGAAGTTCAACCTGTGTTTGGAATAGGCTCTGACAACCATTGTTCCACGTCATATGAACAAGACGACTACAACAACGAGACACCTTCTCTGAAATAATAAAAAAGGAGGCCAAATATGTTCCGTATTTTTTTTATAAATATGCATTATAATTTAAGAATCGTGAGAGCACTGGGAAACACAATGAAATTAATCTGAAGTAAAAGAACAATGTAACACTAATTGACATAGTGAAAGAGGCAAAGATTCTTAACTGAACTAATAGTAAACTCAGGCCAGAACTTCGATCCGTAGCTTTGTAGCCAGCAATCCTTAAACTAACACTCCTGCAAAAATCTAAGAACAATATTTAAGTTCATATTCCCTGCTGCAATACATAACTGTCTACTGCCAAGGATGCCCAATTGCTCTCTTTTTTTAAAGGGAATTCCAAATAGCCCTCTCTAACTCATTGTGGTTCGTATTAGCGAGTCCATTTGTTCTTTTTCTGGCTTTTTTAAGTCAAATTTGTTTGAATAAAAATCACGTGTATTTTTACTTCCCTGTGCAAAGTAAGTGGGGGGGGTATTGTAATCACGAAAAATTTCGGATATCATATTTCAACAGAAATATCCATTTTGACCGTTCCCGAATACATTTGGGGATTTTTTTTCATGACATCTGTACGTACGGACAGATTAAAAGACTTTTTTTTTCCAAAACTGATCGTAAAATGGATTCAAAAAGGATATTTTCGTGACGCTTGTACGTACGAACGTATGTATGTATATATATTTGTATCTCATAAACTCAAAAGCGGTTAGCCGCATCAGCTTAAATGAAAGGCAGAATTTATTAGGTCGTACAAGGAAGTCATATGGTTTCCTCATCAGAATTGTCTTTTAATAATTTTATGTCAAAAATATATTTCTGTTAATAAAAATTCTTCTTTCTTGAAAGCAGTCTTTCCCTTTAACATTTCAGCACACAAAATATGCTACTGGTTGCTGTATGAAGAATATGCTGTTTTGTATTCTTGATTAAAACAAGAGGGAGGAATGGAATAAATTTATCTTCTTGATATTACTGAGGGAATTCTGGTAGAACCACAGCTCTGAAAGCAAATAGCATAAAGAACTCTATAAGGAGCAATTAAAAAAAGACAAAATATTTTAGGTCTGTCAAGACATACGATTTTTGTTCACCTCCTTTCACTGGAAATGATCCGATTACGCGAATAATGATGTATTTCAATGATGATTCAATGATAGCGTAAGAAATGTATTTAAGCCGTATATATATATATATATATGTATATACCGAAGAAAAGGAAAGTTCGGAGTTTGATATATATATATATATATATATATATTATATATACAAGCTCAGCTCGTATTTGAGAGGTCAGCTTTGAGTCCCGGCGAGGACACTCCGCATTTTTCGCATTACTTGCTTCAAAAAGGCTTTATGATTCTACAAATGGCTCCCGAACTAAAAGGTGGTGGAAAATAATTCGTCACCGCCAGGATACGGCTATTGGGTCCCCTAACGCCTAGTAGTCTTTTAAAAGCGGTCCACGCGGGCCGCGGATTTGAATCCACTGTTCTAAACCATCCGTCCAAGACATGAAAAATTAAATTTAAATTTTGTTGATTGTCTCAATTAAAAGAGAACTCTGTAATTGCTCTTCCTTTCATTTTCTTCCAGCGTACATTTTAACCGTCGTTAATGTAGCAGACATTTCACTTGTCCAATTGCTAGTTTTTTAATGTGACTGTTTTTTCATACTAGTAATCTTTTCTTTAAATCATATCAGGTCACAGTTTAAAAAGCAAGATAGCAAAAAACTGCAGAATCGCTGTTGTTTAAAGATAATGTCGGATATCCAAAATTTGATTCAGGGTACGTAAGTATTTGATGTGTCATTTAAGAGAGCATTTTATCAAAACTTAGTTGATTTCCTATCTCATTTTATCTGTAGAAGAGCTATTTCAGTATGCATTGTAATTTATGTAAAATATAATAAAAGGCAGAACATTAGAATTTATTTCATTTCTGAGAAGATTTCGGCTAGTAGATAGTACTATATTCATCAATGTTTAAGTATAATTAGATTTGTTTTAGACTAATCCTTCAAACTGAAAAGTTGCTGGAAAGAGAAGAAAAATTCGTTAACACTGTGGATTTTCATTATGGGAAAGAGCAGGTGTAAACGTGAGAAAATAACTGCTGGGGAAAATGAAACCATCTCTTTGTAAATAAAGAATCTTCGAAAACTAAAGGAACTGAGAAGATAAAGTAATCACATCTGCCACATTTTGGTTAAATACAAAGGTTTTCCCTTATTTCGCCTCTTTGAACTTTCAACAGCAGATCAGGGTAAGCATAATATTAACTTATTTTTTGATTACAAAAAGCATACTTAATGTGAAGCCAGATTATACCGGCATCTATTGATTGCAAGTTGAATTGTGTTTCATAATTTTTTGTACTCCTGAAATATGGCCATGTTAAGGATCTAAAGTTGTCAATATATATGTTTCAATATTTTGATCCGATATTAACATTAACTTAAGGTTGAGAATAATGATCTGTCAAAAGTACAAGTAGTTAAGAAATTATTTCTCCACCTGCTGAGGTATACGTTAAGTGGTATCTTAAATAAGGTTAAGCAGAGTCTAGTAGCTCTAAGCATGGGTTTTATAAAACATAATCCTCAAAAATGTTTAAATTGAGAAAACATAGCAGAAAATATGAAAAACCTATCGCCATATTTAATGTTCGCTAGTTTGCTATCAATTGTTTTTTGCGTAGTCATCCAGAACGCAGTTTTATTTCGTTACGTTATATAATTTGGAGTTACACTGTTACAAAGAAATCTTCATAATTTAAATCTTTTCTTCGAAATGCCAAGGCAATGAAAGCATAAAAAATTTTAACGCCCTTGAAATTGACCTAGGACGAGGAATACGAAAATGCACGCTGCGTATATCCATACCCAAAAACATTTATCAACATTTTAAATATTTTTAATGTATATACATTAATTTTTACGTTAATTAGATTTTAAAACTACTGTTTTATGTGCATTTAAGGAAACTGAATTTGCTCTTAAACTTATTTTGTTTGTTGTATGTAGAATGAAAACAAATGTTTTAGACAGTTTTTTTTACCCATCCTTCATAAAGACATATAAAGTTTTTCCCCTCATCGGAGCATTTTTAATTGCTTTACTATTTCCAACATTCTGTTCGAGAAAAGAAACATCGATGTTCCATTTTTCTTAATTTTAAAGATTGCTGATGTCTTTGATTTGTGTATTTGTTTAAAAGTTAGCATTTAAGAGGTAAATGAAGGAGCAACAATTTTGAAATTGAATGGAGAACTCTTTTGCAGACAACAGGAAAATATTTCATAAATTTCACCAACATTTAACAAAGGGAAACAAATTACTTTATGGAACCAATTATATGTACTATCCAGAATCACGCTGTTGCCATTTCATCAGTAAGATTTATAGCACATTTTTCACATTTTTTTGAACAGTTTAAGAGTTTAGGAGACCCTTTTTATCACAGACATCACTCATCCAGTTGTTAAATGATAGACTGCTGGACAATAATAGTTATTTTCGGATCCGAATGCCAGAGAATTCGCTAGCTGTATGGGAGTTTTCGTAATTTTCCTTATACGCGATGTTAATACATGCTATTTTGCCTTAGAAAGTCCTTTATGAAAGCATCCTCCACTCAAGCTTAAAGCAAGCCCTTGTGCCTTGCTGCGATGAATTAATATAATTTATCTCATATACCAAATATCCACCGTCAGGATGTGTGCAGAATTGCATAATAGCTCCCTTAAGTGTTATATTAGATGACCGACTAGTCTATCTGCCATCATGCGTTTGCATTTTTCACTTTGGGAACAGCCGATTTAAATATTTTGATGACATTCTTTACTTATCAGAAAGATAATGGATATTTTATTTTGAGGGATGTGAGAAGGCGTATATAATTTCAAGAAACATATTCTATTGTTTGATAAAGAAGTTCCTTCGAAGAATGGGCTTTAAATTACACCCCGAAAGGGGTAAGTTTTTCCTGAGAAAACTACACAACAATAAACTTGGTCACGGCCATGGCATAACTCGCGCATGTATTCGCAGATTAGAATTAAATAATATAACTTTTATTGAAATTAATTAATATAATTACGAAGCAAAAGGCCTTGGCCTTTTGTAACCGAAATCGGATTTGATTGATTAGTTGATTAAGTCAAAACAGATTTTGTCTGCTTGTGCACAAAAAAGAAGGCTTCGGTAGAAGACAATCTGAGTAACATGCGTTCGTACGTGTATTAAACTTGAAAACATAAAAAAACCTGAAAAATCCCCCAATGAAATTAAAAACGGCTAGAATAAATTTAGGGTAAATACCCGCTGTTTGGTCATATTAGCAAAACGGTCTCTTGTAGGCCTGTTATAAATTTAAAACAAGAGCAAGAATTTACTGTCAAAATTGAGATATGTAGCAAAGATACAAAATATCTTATATGTACAGGTTTTATAATCCTTTTACACGTACGCAATTCCATCTGATTTTCCTGTTGCTTCTTTTTATTTATAAACTGGCTTCCTAAATAAGTTTATAAAGAAAATGCAATCGAATGGTGCAAAACCATCACCTTTGGATAAAATCTTCAAATACACTTAAATGGGAGTAGTGCTAATATGCCTACTGTAGCACTAATTCACAATGATGATGACAAGATTCTACTTCGGAGGCACAACAATGAACATAGCCGTCTTTCGGTTTGCATTTGTACATCAGCAACTGATCTTCTTTAATTATTTTATGTCTTCATTTGATCCACCTCATCAGAAAGTGATACTGGTTACTCAAATGAGAGTTGATACTGCATTGATATGTTTCAGTCTGATAACATCACTCAATATCATTTGCTATAAATTTAATATCTATCAACTAATACTCTCTTAAATACAGTGCTATTTCACGAAACATTTCTTATTCACAGCAAGAACCCTCTTTCCACTTTCCAGCTCAGAACGTCATGTAATATGATTAATAAGTTTGACTACTTAGTTTATCATTTGCAAAAAATACCATATTGAGTAGAAGTCTCGATTGACCAAGCATTTAGAATTACAGAATATTATTCTTTTTAAATGACATATTATAAATACTAAACATTTGACAAAATTGAATCTTCAACAGCACGTAGTGAAAAGCTAAAGCTAAAGTGAAATTTGGAATGTTTATACAGATTAAGAAAGAGCTCATTCTTTAAAAAATGCTAAAGTCTCATCTGTTAGAAAAATCTCGCAGAGAATATCTTACTCAGAATTTTTAAAAAATCTGAAAGGTTTCAGATTTTAGATTACGTCCAAAGGGGCAATTTGCTCATTGCACATTTTGAAAAGTGAAATGGATATTTATAGTGTTTCAACGCAAAATGCCAAACTCACAACACACAAAAATAGACACACAAACACAAAAACAAACACAACATAATCACATAAAAGCAAACAAATAAACACAATACAAACACACACACTAAAAGAAATTTTAATGCAGTTCCTTTAAGTTACTTTATACGTTGCAGTGACATTTGCGAGCAATTGAATGAAAGAACGGATGAACTAGTAAATACGTAATTACATCTGCAAGTAATATATGAAAAATCCAAAATATTAGAATTATTACGTATCTTACATTGTTTTTAAAAGTATAAATGTCATGCGTTTCTTCATCGAGTCGTAAAAGGATTCGAAGATTTTGAAGATTGAAAGGATCCTTTGACAAATTTTCTTAATAATAATTAGACTTTTTTGGGGGTCTCGAAATGGACCAGTCAATGTTTCAACGACCACTCACAAATCGCAAAGGACCCGGTTTCATCAATACGTGGCTACAGATAATGAGTCGCTGAAAAAAACTAAAAACAGTTGTTAGAAATAAATCCAAATATGAGAAGGATTTGAACTCAATATATTTGAGTTAAAATGAAAGACCAAAGAGAGGTAGACTGTCCTGAAATTTCCCAACACAATCTGCTTATGAATCAGAGTTGGGACCTGCCATGTTGTCTCCGAGCATTACAGCCTATTAAAATGCATTATAGCGTTATTTCTCTCAATTGGCTTATAAATTAATTCCTGAAGAATTTTACGCTTTCCTTTAAAATGAAATCTTGAAATTTCCTGGATAAGTAATTCATAAACCATTCAGTGAAAGAAGACTGAATTGAAGGCGTAACATGACCTGTCAGGTAATATATTACAGAATGTTATGCTGTAAGCAGAGAAGTTTCAAATTAGATTTCAAGCTGAGGCAGTTATTCCACAAAACTACTCCCCTTCCCTCCCGAAAAAAATTAACATTCAATTGGAACGTAAATATATTTCTTTCTCAGCTCCTAGTTAAAAGATGTGAAGATTAATGTTGCGTTTTAGCTTTTTATTGTTGATGAAATTATATTCTGGTTTAATAATTATGGCAACTGACTTTTGATTGCGATTCACACTTCCTTTAGCTAAAACACTTGACATTGCATAACAATATTGAAATATACTTTCCTCTTAGGTTTCCAGAAAGGAAAGGAAAAAGGCATTAAAGTATGAAAGCAGCATTTTTCTTCGGCTTTGTGATATGCATCTTTGCGAATGCTTTTGCAATAGATGGTAAGTTCATTCTATATAAGAAAATATTTGAATTTCTCTTTTAAACTGCAAATCAGGAACCTAAACTAATTTTTAATATCAATATGCTCATTAACCAAATTTTGACTAATAAATAATATTTAGTACACTATTCTACTTTATTTTAATTTAATGTTGCTCAAAAATAAACCCAGTTATATTTTTAATACACACTTATTTTTATCTGACGCATTTCAAACTCTGCATCTTTTTTTAAAATTTTGATCCGAAGTGAATGCTGGGAAAGCACCCTTACTCCTCTGAGGAAAAGTTTCCTAAATTAACATTAAAATAAAGATGTCGATTTTTTATCATGTTTATAGAATAGTTACTTTCAATATGTAAAGGGGGCGAGGGACTGTTTCTGTACTTACTATCAAAGTTCTGTACTTACTATCAATGCAATGAATTAACTTAAATTTTCGATATTTTATCTCCTATGCTTACTCTGGTCTTTGGCTCTTCTTTCGTGTTTGAAGTTGGAAATTTTCATATATTTAGCATAAGAAATCAAAACGAGTTTTATTTTCATTTTTGAATTATATATTTACGGATAATAACTTTGTTAGCTTTGGGTGTTAAGGTAATTTACAATTTTTTGTTATCTGATTGTTTATTCGAGAATACCGCCAGAAACGTCCCGAAGAAAACCACTTCTACAACACTTGCAGTAGAAAAGAAAAAAATAGTGTAAACATGCCAATTCTAAAGCATCCTGATATAAAATATTACGATTAAAAACATTAAAAAAACCGGCAACAGAACTTCGCTGTTTTAAAACCTAAATATTAAAACACTTTCAAAATGTTAAATTTTAAATCTATGCTCTCTCTTTCTTGCACTATTTAATTAATTGTGAGAACGAGAAGAAATGAGTAAAATTTTTATCTATATTATTGGAGGATTTTTGAATTAACTAATAATTTTAGCTGAAAAATCAAGAAGTTATCTCAACATTCAAAATCTAGAAATGAGTAGAACTCACAATTACATATAACAGCAGTTACTACAATTTTAAACTTATGCAGTTAGGTGTTGAAAATCATTATTTAATTAATTCCATTCATAAAAATTATCTATAATTTTCCCTAAAAATACATTACAAAAAAGGTTACAGAAGCAGACTTGAATTTGCTTTGTGAAAGAGAAACTACATACCCTTTGAGTAGTGGAATGTGAACCAGAAGTGTTTCGTGGTATATCTTATTTGAAAATAAACTATAAATATTAAGGGAATATTTCAAAGCTTTTTCGAATGAAATATTTCCAGGAAATTAAATAATACTTAGTAAAGTATTAAAATAAAAAGCACCATAAGTTTAATAAAATAATAAAAATATAATAAAAAAGCACCATAAGTTTCTAGAGAAAAAATGCTTTTATTTTATTTTCGTAAAAATCTATATTTTTTTAATTTATATTTTTTGAAAAATTTTAATTTTAGCCTTCCGAATATACGATGAAAATACAAATCTGTTTTCTGTGATGTAATCATCTTAGCTACGTGACATGTCAGCCAATCTGATATAATTTCCAAGACAGAGAATCGATTTCCAAATGTTTAACTATATGAACATGTTAACGAATTTTCATGCTAAGAAGATGAATAAATCAAAGTAAAACAAACGTAATCTTTACTGAAAGAATATCAGACTAACAATAGTGAAAGAAAATTATTTAAATTATTTAATAACTAAATCAAACAATTTTAAGTAACATTTTATCTTCCTTTTCTTAATCTTTTTGTGTTTTACGTTTTCATAAAAAAACTATCAATGGGTTTTTGAAAAAAGGACTAATGGCTAATTACATAAATTTAAAATTGTGTTAACATGTATACATAGCTGCAACTTCACTCATTTTCTAACTTGAATACATAAGTTTCCTACTTGATTTTTCAGTTCAAATTTATTAGTTAATTCAAAAAATCTGAAATGATATTATATATGAGCAAAACTTTATTCTTTTGCTCACACTTCGGTGCAGATTGGAGTACAGAACATACGTTTTAAACTTTTTAAAATCTGCAAAGGGACCCTGAGAAGTCTAAGGGAAACTGGCTTGTATTAACATTACAGATGGGGAAAATCCGGAAAACCAACCATGCCCCAGCCCGTTCTCTTAGGATCAAATCCCGGTCGATTTTCCAACCTTCACAGGTCTTAAGCACGTGGCAATTGGTGAAGTTTTCCTGCATCGGAACTGCCCTTTCGATGCAAGTTAATTGCATTATTTTTTTAACTACATGGTAATTCTTCAAGTCGCATCTTTAGTCCCGTTACACTCTCATACATATCTGAAAAGCTACTTAAATTTATTTAAATGTAGTGCAACACAGAATAGAAGGCTGGCAACAGAATCAGATTTATCAAATGTTAATATCTGGCCATTGCACGAAGAGGTAATTGTAAGATTGTAAGATTTTTTTCAATGACATTTTCTAAGTAAATGTGGTTTGGCACCGACTGTATATTTTTTAATTAATGACACACATTTTAAAGTTTGACTACACAAGGGTTATAAAACTTATTAAGATACATACGTAGTATGATAATTTTTAGTCACTTTATCTAAGCAATGAAATACCTGTTTAATTTTTCCTTATAGAATTTATACTTGATTTCTTATATATACGGGTTGCACGAGAAATTAATTTTACCGTTATATTATTACGTATCAAAAACACAATTAATGAAAAGTCATGTACTAATTACGTCTAATTATGTCTGTAATAATTATGCCTAGTAATAATTAAGTCTTTTCTGTCCTGTTATAATTTTAAGCATCTAAACCCTACCGCGTTTTTCATAAAATGAAGAGAAATACGTAATTGTCCACAGTTTGGATGTACTGCGTAAGCAATTTTTGATAATATAATGTTATAATAATTAGTATTATGCCATTCGTCTTTTCTATTGTTAGATTTTATAGCACAGTTTCGATTATTCATGCGCTCAGTCTACACATTTAAATATTGTTCCATTAAATTTGTGAAAGTCCGTTTAGAATTTACGTATTCTTATCTGTATGCGCAGTTCCTATGATTATTTCAATTAAAACACTGTATGTAAAAATATTACCTTAGGTTTAAGAACAGCTTATTTAATACTACGTAAAATTTTATTTGTTGGCAAACATAAGTATTTGCTAGAATTTTAAAAATTATTCCGCTCTTCTTGTTTCATTTTCTTCAAATTTCATTTTATTTCATGGCTGATATATTTTGTAAATTTTAACCCAGATGAATATAAATGGCACTTATTACCAGAAACAAACGGGTTACCAGAGAAATTATACATCAAAACTGCGTACTATTTCGTTCACCCTTATTAGTTTCTGACTTCATTTCAGTGAAATCATTCGACTATTTTTCAGCATAATGCAACATTTTTCGCAAGTCTAACTTCCTGAAAATATGTGCATTTTCGCAATACTAATTTGTTGTTTTAATAACGTAACTGCATCAAATACTTTTAATAGTACTAATTTATTTCGGTTAGTTTTAAATTCTTCATTGCAGCAATTTTTTTATTGAAACATTTTGAGACTGTTAAATACGCATAGTGCTTGGCTCTGTATTTAAGGAAAGTGTTAATATCATCACACTTCAATAAAATTTTCTGATACTATGAGTAACTGCCTCTTCAAAAAGTGTTTCCTCATTACGCTTATTTTTCATTCATGAAATTATTTACAGCAACGTTATGACTTTCTTCAATCATCATTGATTCTTCGTCTTAATTAGTTTGCAGAGTTATCAGGTCTTTTTAAGTAGAAGCTAAAGTCAGTGGCGTAACAGCCCTAATGGGCCAAGGCCTGCAGTGCCCGAAATTTGCTTTCTTGACCGTGGGCCCGGGGTGCGTAAGCATATGCCCTAAACAAGTGGTAAGATTGTCGCAGGACCCCCAGTGTTTAGTCCCCAAGCGAACTTGGTACTTATTTTATCGAGTCAAGTGATGGAAATCAAGGGATGAAAAGCTGAGTCGACCTTGCCCAGCCCGGGTATCGAACCCCGGATCTGTGATGCTGCTGCTGCGCGATGCGCTAGCCACTGCGCCACCGGGCCTCTTTTTAAGTACAAGACATGAAAAATGAGCTATGCCCTTTCCGAGACTCGAACCTGGACCTCTCAAATACTCGCCGAATGTGCTACCATTACACCACGAAGGCATGCTTTAAGGAGGGAGAAAATACCTTATAAGTTTGTGCTTGTACGCATTATCTTTAAGGTGATCCCATAGAAAAATATTCAATGGGGTCAATTCAGGAAAAAATTATTCCACCGTAGTCGTACTCGCTATAAACCTGGGGGCTGTTGTCCCATCTTGTTGGTACTAGTCGAGTGTCAGCTCCTTATCATCCCACTAGTTCACATTTCATGAAACAGTACCTGGTACAGTTCACTGGTGACAGTAGTATCAAACCAATCGCCCCGATAATGTGCCGCTGTGATAATGCACAAAACACGCCCATCTTCTGTCAATGAAGAGATTCCTCGATGTCTGCAAGCTGGCTGTCACTGCTTCATAAGCGTGTATTTTGTTAGTGCACATTATCCTGACAAGTGGAATTACGCTTCATCACTAGACCACATGTACTCTTGCAGCAATATACACGAAAATGCAGAGCCGTTTATGACTGTGTATTCAGGCAGAAGGAGGTTACTTTCAGAATCTCTTGTAATGTACTTTCATTTCTCAAACATAATGCCATGTCATGTAAAAATTTGGTTTCATTTTCTCTTGTTATAAGATATTTATTAGACTTTTTCCCAGGGCCCCTTTCAAGTGGGACACCCTTTGAAACTATCAATCTATCTGACTATCAGTTTATTTAGTTCAATATCATCGTGAAAGAGCATAGTTTCATCGTGAAATTACCTAAACTAATTTAAATATCATCTTAAATAAATATTCAGTTTACTTTATAAAGTTTAATCACACTAAAAGAACATTTAGTTTCAGAATCATTTGCTGTAGTTTTTCCAGTTTCAGTTTCTAACATTAAAATGCAAATGCATATCGTTTCGTTTGGTCTCTGAAGTAAATCAGTGATTAATTACAAACAATGTTATGTATGTATGGTTGAACTTTATTGTTAATAAAAAAAAAACCTACTATTTTAAATAAATGTACTATACTAACATAAATATTTTGGGAACTATAACAAAGAAGAACATAGAACTGTGAAAACAAATATGTTAAAGAAAAATTATTCGGGAAACAAAACTTAATTAAAAGCACTGATCTTTTTCATTTTTAGTGAAGATACAAGCGTACTATTAGCGTCTTTTATTCTAAGAAAATGCAAACAATTAACGAGGGTACTACCTTTCATTCAAGCTGCGCCGGATATAAATTCAATGAAAAGAAAAGGGGTCAAAACACAATACACACTGGGGAGCGACATGGGGCAATATATAACAATATAATAAATCTTGGTAAAATTTTGAAACAAAAATGACATAAATATTAATGCCAACGTACTGTATGTTCTCAGCTCCTTCAGAGCCTCATATTAACTTTACCATTCATTTCAAAAGAGAAACCTCGCAATTACCTTCAAATATCCAATTTCGAGGTAATTTCTATTGACAAATCTCGAGTTTTGAATTTATCTAAGCGTCGAAGAAATGGTTCAAAGTACAAGCAAGAAATACGGGTCGAAAGTTTTCTTTCTGCTTGTTATGCGCTTATAACACAAAATTTTAATGATTTCATTTGCGTAATATTACAAAAGCTTAAGGAGCTATTTAAAGAGGAAATATCAGCTATTGCGTTAAGTTTCTTCATACTTGCGTTTTTCAAGTAAGCAGTCCCATCACTGAAAACTAAATTTTACAGAAAAAGTTCTTGATTCATCTTTTAAGCAGAAAAAAGTGTATAAATCCTAGCTATAGAAGCAATATTTTATATTAAAATAATCCGAAGAAGCAGATTTCATTCTTGAGTATTAAATTAAATTCCTTAAAGAATATCTAAGTAATTCTTATCAAACTCTGATATAACCACTGGAGGACATAAAATTGTACAGTTTTATTTCTTCATCAGTTTTTAAATGGTACTTCATTATAAATTACTAGTCTTTTCAAATTGAAACGTACATAGTTGCTAATATTGATCGTGTCTCTGTGAAACGTCTTAAACAATAAAACAAGCTACAGTGGTTTCTTTTTCCATTTCATATATCGAACTGAAAACACAATTAATTGTAGTAAAGAAATGAATGCCCTCCATTTAAATTTTTATGGGTTACAGTACCATTATAGGGTATTATAGTACGTTTGAATCTTTTTCCAACATATAATGTTGCAGAAATGGCTTTTTATTTCATGGTATTTATAACTAGTTTATAGCGCATTTCCTGCCGCCTTACCGCGGGCTTTTTATGGTGTAATTGAAAGTACTTCTGGAGGCATCGGGAGGTCCAGAGTTCGAATTTCGGAGAGGCACTGTTGATTTTCTAATATTTCTTGCTTTGAAATATGCCTAATGACTCTACAAAATAAATATTTTTCGCAGCATTTTTTAAGTTCATATCAGGCTATACAATCAGTGCTCTGAGAAATTATAGCTTCTGTAGTAATTCTATGTACAAAAACATAGATTCTCTTAAATTTATTGATATTTAAATCAAGATATGTTTAATTTAATAGGAATTTGTACTTTTATCATTTCAAAAATTCTTCAGAATAAGTTGGATATTCTAAATTTTTGGAGAATATTAGAATCAATTAATCTGTCAGTTTTTACTAAATACGATAAATAAAATATACTGTAAGATTTTAAACAATCTGAAATTCTTCATGAGAGAAAGCAGAGTTATTACAGACTTCAAACTCATCACGTAATTTCAAAATGGCAATTTCCTGCTCTGTAGCTGGATTCAATTAAATTATTAGATTTAAAATATTAAACATTTGGATATCTGAGCTCGCTATTATTGCATGATGTTTTCTGTCTGAAGTGCAGATAAGCATCCTTTAATTCCTGAATTTGTTTTTTCTACAAATTTCGCATTATGTTGTGAACTTTAGTGCACTAATGTAATTTAAATTACGTCGTGAAAGCAATTATATGTATTTTTTATTTTCAGAAAAACTTCAAGCCATAGTTAATGATTACATAGATGACTTTATTGAGAAAGCTACAAATGGATCTGGAGGCTTCATTGACCCTCTTCCATTAGATGAAGTAGCGAAAAGCTTCGAAAGGGAAGTCGGTCGTGTGAAGGTGAAGGGTGAAGCAAAGCTGTATGATGGTAAAATATACGGTCTTTCCTCTTTGCAAAGAAAAGGTAATGCAGTTGCAATTGATTTAGATGACTTTCTCATCATCTCAACTCAATTAACATTCAAGAAAATCCACGCATTCTACAGAGGTGCTATGCTATTGAACAACAAAGGACCTCGAATAACACTAGACGCAAAAATAGGAAAATCCAAAGTTACCATGTTCCTCACAGTGCCAGCAGAAGGCGGACCAGCTAGCTTAATGTCTTTTAACATAAACAAACTGCAAGATATTCGAGTGAGCGTTTGGGGTCTCGGAGCTATGGGATGGACTGCAAGTATTATCAGCACCCTGGCACTCAACGCATTAGAGCAACCTGTAGCCAAAGCTGCATCAATCAAAATTTTTGAATACTTCAGTAAGGAACTCGAAAAGGTTCCATTTCCAGGATCCAAGTCTGAATAAGTCTTATAAATTTCTCAGAAAGCTGTTTTCCAAATAAACTTTCTTACAAGTCTGTTTATTTCATTTTATGGTGTAATTTTGTGCAGTGTTTTTATGCTTAGATTTCAAAATTTTGTGCAGTGATTGATTGCCTTTACACATAGATGTCATGTCCATATCTTTGTATACCAAAAGATCTAATTAAATTTTATTTTTGCACTTAGATCTTTGTACTTGGATCCTTACACATAGATGTTATAATTTTGTACAGTGAGTTTTATGGATAGAAGTCGCATGCATACATTTTATACATAAATAACTACTTAATTTAGTTTTAACAACCATTTATTTGTTTGTGATATTCACTTTAAATTTCACTTTGAAAGGCAACAGAATTAAAATCAAGAAATTTTCTGTCAGAAAAGCGAACAAACTTTGAAAAATTTGAATAGATATAATAATTGCTCTTTTTTCCAATGAATACATCTACACTGAACTTAAGAACTGCAAAAATTTTAATCGCAAGAAGGAGTTAAAAGCTTTTTTACATAAACTGGCTGCCATTATTTTCTTTTTCATGAAAATTCAATAAAACAAATAGAAAGTCATGAAAGAACGTGTAAGAGTCTTCGTACGTAATAAATCATATAGGAACATATATATGAGTGTATTTCTTGCGATTCAAATGGCTAAATGTTACATATCAAGAACAACGAACTATCATACATATCAAGAACTGAAAATTATATTTTAATAAGGTTTGATATTAATCAAAATTAAGATAAATAATTATATAGTAAACAAGGAAAAAAAACTTTCTGGAAGGTATTCTACTTTGCAATGTAATAACCTTATCAAAATATAACTGTTTAAAATACCATTGCAACTATATTATTTTTAAGATACTATTTAATTTTTAGCAAACAGACTGTTAATGAAAGTGAATAAAAAGTAATCTAAATTATGCTATGAAATAAAAACGAAAACCTTTGAAAATTTTATAAGTTATGGTGGCTAGAAGACCGACAATATAATTACAGATAGAAATGAAATGTACTCAGGCAAAATTAGCCCCATATTTATAAAATTTATGTGAATAAAAATTACACTGGAAAACTTAAATATTAGTTATTATTTCATTTCGAGAACATAAGTTAGTCTATCAGTTCAAAATTCTAAATTTTGTCGTTTCAAACTGCAAAGCAAGGATTGTGAGACAACATTTTCAATAATATTAAATTGTATGAAAAGTAATCTAAAGCAAATAAGATGTAAATTAAATTATATTTCATGAGGATTTACTGCTCTCTACTAAATCCAATGAAATCCAGTATAGTATAAAACATAATACACATTTTCGGATGAAAAGGACTTTTAAACGAATAGTCATCATTTTATTATTTAGAATATATATATATATATTAAAGTAAAAATAAGCGATGTCAGTACATATTACACTCATGTCCATAAATTAAGGATAATTCGGAGTCACGCGGAAATCGAACTCTAAAATAAATATATCACATGTAAAATCACTAAAGACATCTTCAAGAATCATATGCAAATTTCAGGAAGTAACCAGATGACACCGATGGTACGTCACAATGACGAGAGTGTAAGAGAGTGATATATAAGGAATACAGGCAAAGAAGTAAAATTGCTCGCAGGCGCTTTATAAGCATTTCAGTGCAATAACCGAATAGTTATGACACAAAGGACGCATTTGGATGATTTTTTACGTGGTAGAATTATCGGCCGTTTGGAATGTGGGCGTACCCAACTGGAAGTATCAGACGAACTTGGCATTCCCCAGAGTGTCATCTCCAGGCTTTGGCAACGATTCCAAGATGATGGTAATGTAAGTAGACGTTACAGCACAGGTCGCCCTAGAGTTACAACGCCGAATAAGGACAGCTATTTGGCAGTTACTGCCAAAAGAAACAGGCGGAGCACAGCCTCAGACCTGTCTCGTCAGCTCTCTTCAGCAACTGGTACGACAATTTCAAGGCAGTCCGTGTACAGACGTTTAGAGCAGATTGGTCTATATGCTCGTAGACCTGTCAGATTCGTTCCACTTACTGCAATTCACTGTCGCCTGCGGTTAGCCTGGAGTAGAGAGCATGCATTGTGGACACCACAACAGTGGGCTTGTGTGATGTTTTCCAACTAGTCCAGGTTAGCTTGCAGTCTGATTCTCGCCGGACTTTCATATGGAGTGCTCCAGGTACCCGTTACCACCAAGAAAACATCAGTGAACAACACCGTTACGGTGGTGCAGGAGCGCTCGTTTGGGGTGGAATTATTCTGGGTTCCAGAACTAACCTGCATGCTCAAATTGGAACGATGACAAGCCAAATCTATCGGGACGTCATTCTGGAACATATACGTTTGTTTCGGGCCGCCATGGGCGCACAATTTGTGTTTATGGATGACAACGCCCGTCCTCACCGTACAAACATCGTAAGCGAATGCCTTTAATCGGAGGATATCACCCGTATGGACTGGCCAGCATTCTCACCGGACTTGAATCCAGTAGAGCACGTGTGGGACATGCTTGGCCGACGAGTTGCAGCCCGTCAACCTCCTTCTACATGTCTACCGGAACTTCGGACAGCATTGCTTTTTGAGTGGTGTAATATCCCCCAAGATCAGATCGATAATTTGATACTCAGCATGCCTAGGCGTTGTACGGACTGTATTGCATCGTCTGGGAGACATACAATGTATTAACAATCATACCAACCATGTAATATTGGTTTTTTGTAAATAGGGTTTTTTTTTTTTTTTTTTTTTTTTTTTTTTGTAATTTGCTCCAGGGAGAAAAAATCGCTAATTTTTTAATAATATCAAACATTAGCATCTTTTCTTTGCTCTTTACCTTTTGTTTAATAAATAAGCTTTACAAATAAGTCAAATTTGTTTTGCTTTTAACTCTTCCTTTGCCTGATTTTGCATTATCTTTAATTTATGGGCATAAGTGTATTTAGTACATAAAAACAGAGAACTACTAAATAAATTTCTGTTCAGGAGATGGCTTCATGCTGATCAACCAGTTATGTCCATTGAAATATGCGTTGTGTTACAAAATTTCTTGAAAGTGGTTAAGCTGAAAAACGTGGAAATATCATAAATTTTATAGATTCCAATAATGTATAAAAACATTACACAATACAAACCACCTGAATTTTTCCCATTCTATGAGGTAATTAACCAAATGATAAATCTGTGAAATCAAGAGTTAGTAATAGGATATTATGAGTTTTTTCCTAAATGCACCTCTTTATACGTTTCTTTTCCTAAGCATTCGGGAGTTTAAGAAACGGTGCCATTAGTTTCTCTGTAAGATTCTAACCTATGTACTTTTAAGTTACAGTTCAAATTGAAGAATCTTAAGAACTGGTATTCGAATAATCGCTTGAGTTCGTGAGACAGAAAATAAAACTTGGGAAGGGTTAAAGACCCTTTATTATTCCAAATTAAATTCACAGAACTCCTTCTTGGAGTTTTACAATAAAGCCTCTACTCGGGCTTGAACTCAGGAACTAAGAAATTAAACTTAACTGATCTTAACTAAAAAAATATAGCCGAAGCTATCAAGGTTCTAACAGAGTTGGCCCCTTAACGCTAAATAACGGCGAAGCTATCAAGGGCCTAAAGTACGGCCGAGCGTAATAATAGTTTAACCTTTAAGAGACGGGGCAGTTTGGAAAGGTTTCACTTAAAAAGACGGGAAATCCAAATACATTTCCACCCCCTTTTAGCTGCTATTGTAAACGGAAACTACTACTCTTTTGCAACTTTTCTTGTAGGTCGCCTTTGTTAATTTTCAGATAAGGAACTAGGAAATAATATAAAAGAATTTGTTGAATTTTTTCTCTTTTCTGCTGTTTCTTTTCCTTAAACTAGGGAAACATATTATAATGAGATTTCGTAGCTAAATAATTGTCGTATGTTGGAATATTAACTTTTGACATTGCGTCATATTGAAAATACGCCTTAGCAGCAAATGCACGCCTATAATCAGTTCATGGTTTATTCCGTTTTTATTTGTTTCCAAACTGAATTTAGTTTAGAATTACATATACTGATTAACAATTTTAATTTATACTCGTTAACAGTTTTAATTTATACTCGAAAATGATGTTTAACTATTTGTTTCTCGTATAAATCGGCAGTTCGCTTTTATTTTGTTTTTTGTTACCAAGCATTGTGTAACAGCTTATGTTTATATTTATCATTCAACAAATCCCGTTGTTTTATTTTTGTGATATTAGTTTAGTTTACCTTTCTCATTAGTATTCTTTCTTATTCAGTTTAATTTATTGATTTCCCCCTCCATTGTATCGTAAGTTATTTCATCTTTCAACTACGTTATTGTTCATTGTTCTTTCTTGCAGTTTTGTGATAAAAGCTTTTGTGACGAGATTCATCCCCCTTTAGCGTTTTTTTTTTTTTTTTTTTTTTTTTTTTAATTATTTTCCTTTACTTTAAAAACAGATTTTATTGATTATATTTTCATTACATTGCACTCCATTGCATTTTGCATGTTTCAAACAGCAATATTAAATACAAAATTACAATAAAAAGAGGGGAAACATAAAGAAAAATACATTTTTAATGACACTGAAAGTTGATGAAATTAATACTAATGTCAAATTTCTAAGATTTCACTGCTGAGGGAAACGAAAGGGAATTTACGAAACCCCACAGTTGGAAGGTATGAAGGTCATCTCGCATAAATGGCAAGGGAGGTTATTTGGACAATGACTATCTCCGCACCCTGAAGGATGGGTGGAAGGGAATTCGCTGGCCGATATTTCGGCCACAGCCGTCTTTTTGAGACGCTGCAGCTCTGGCCGATATTTAGGCCACCCGTCTTTTAAAGGTTAAGAGAGAGTAGCCTAAAAAGGCGAACGCGCGGTAGTCAGAATCACTGGTTCTCTCTCTTGAAGTCAGTAGAACTTCACAGTCTTCTCCTCATTTGCATTCAACTATGGTTCTAAAAATACGTTCTGGCTGGAAGTTGTAAGCTTGAAATCAAGAAAGGATAGGAAAGTAACTTTAACTCAAATTAACTGTTAGATAAATTAACATAATCCTTACATTTTATAACCTTTATGATTGGTTCAGTGGGCTTTGGCCGAATAATTTAAAAGAATAATTTTAATGAAAATAAAATTTAAAACATTTTTCTGTAGATATCTACCCATACTGTTTTCTGTG